CATCCCCCCCCCCCTCCCCCCCGGACCCCGGTCGGCCCACGCTTTCCTCTCGTCGTCGCTTATTCAATATTTCACCGAGAAGAAGGAAGTAATCAGGACCCTGAGGAGGAATTTTTCCGAGGAGTATGGAAATTGTGGCAGTCCATTTACCAGTCTCGCCTTCGCGCGGCTCCGAGGTTCTGCCCTGCTCCTGCTGTGTAAAAATGCCGTATGAACATTCCAATGTTGCCATATTTCTACCCATGAAATGTTTATTTTCGAGGTTAGGTATTGAACATGATTGCCACAGTCATGGATACCGGGAAATTTCAGGGAAAATGAGGAAACTGTGAGGGGAAAAGCATCAAGTCTCCTTTAATTGCTTTTCGGAATAAGTTTGACGTTTCGAACGACAAATTTTGTCTGAAAAATGTTTCTAATTCTGTCTTTTTAACCATCTGGCATAGCTTTAGCTGTGAAGAAATTTCGCAAAAATGTGTTAGGGAAATCAGGAAAATGTCAGGGAGTTTCATTTTCTAAATTCTGTGGTAGCTCTGTATTAAGGTTTTCCCCGGAATTTTCAGACATAATGCAGCAGACTTGCAATTTAATCAGAATCTGAAGGAAAATATTCGTAAGTTTCCGCGGAAATTAGTGTTATATCAGAGAAAATTTTGTAACGTCCGAAGGATCATGCGTCTTTCTTCCTCAGTGTGGTAGTGATGCTCTCTTAAAGTTGAAGCACAATTGAGCACTCTTCAATGGGGTGCTCCTGCGCCTGATTTTATTTTGGAGGGGGAGGTGGAATGTCAGCCATCTTGGATATAAGCTGAACTGGCGTTTAATGACATGCGCTCCAGATAATTATGATGCAGAGGTTGGAAAACCGGGAAAAGTCAAGGAAAACTTTTTAACTCAAAAAATTTCCAGGAAAATAGAGAAATTTCAGGGAATATAATGAAGGAGCCGTACATTTACTTTATTTCTCTTATTCTTTGAAGTATTTACGACTGTCAAAAAGAGGATCCTAGATAATTGTAACTTTTGAAAATGAAAAACCCAGAAAATCAAATTTCTTCTAAATTTCATCGTCGAATTGATCGATGAATAAGTTGATTTCAACGGTCGGAAGTTTCTGTTACCTTGGTCTTCATAATATTGGAAAAGTCAAGAATAGTATTTTTCAAAGCTCGTAGACGTACTGTGATCGGGATTTACACGCACCTTCGGAGCCGTTCATAAGGAAAATTCTTGAGCTGTAAAAAAAGAAATATGCATTGTGTAAAAGCACCAAGAAGATTGCAGAGAAAAGACACGACAACCCTCTTTTTTGTGTAGTTTTACCGAAGTGTTCTACTTCTTTCTACTTGTTCTCATTTTCCCGCGAATTCCACGTTTTAGAGCTTGGATAGAATTCGCGGACTTCGGCTTTGAGCTTTCTGCTAAACTTTCCGCCTTATTTATTGATGGTTCCAGGACGGAATTATCGAATGGAATTTTCTCGCAGAATTGAGATTTTAGTCGTTCCTCATGGAGCCCGAGCTCAAACGGAACTAAGTGCATCATGGCGTGAGCCCTGTTATGCATATATTCTTATGGTACTCAGGGCTCATGTCTTAATGCACATACTTCCGTTCGGCAGAAATACGTCCAAACGTTTGTTAGGTCATGAAGCAGTCTTACAATTTTTCTGCTCCCAAACTATTTGTCTCGAGTAATAAAATATTCTACGTAACTTATTCAGTTACTGGACCTCCCTTTTTTTAGCTTCTTTGCATCGCCACATCACGATAAATAATATCATATTCTTTTCTCTCTCGATGAAGAAAAGGATGCTGTATTTTCAGACTCATGCACTTCTTTTTTATATTATGTCCCCGACTGATTTCATGATTTTTCTGTTACAGATCGTCGGGCAATAACCCCGTCTATGTCGCTGAACCTATTCTATCGTAAGTACATCTACATTATCATTACTACTAATCAGGTTCATCTAAATAGCCGAGACTCATTTGCTTGCTCTGAATGCCACTCAACACATCATGACGTTAACGAGCGAATATTGTAACTCACTCCGTCTGGGACCGTTAGCTTCATTATCATATCGATAGCAAAAATAGAAAACACGTACCTCGGTTTTGCTACGTTGCATTATTTCCTTTCTTGCTTTATTTTGTAATACTCAAAGAATTTAAAAAGAAATCTTTGATTTTTCGTTGTGTAGAGAAAATTGGTGAAAATTCCCACGAAGAAAGCTGGTTAACCATCCCGTGAAAAGTAAAATTTCAAAACGCCGCAATCGAAGCACTTGTTTTTCTTAAGTCACAATCGAGTTTCATTATCGCCACGATGATACAATCCATTCTCGGCTATTTCGTTGAACTTAATTTCTATCCATGTTTGAAAGGATGTATAGTCTGCAGAGCCGACATCACACTAACCAACCCTGTCGTGTATACTCCCGTGCTAAGGAAGAAAGACGTATGAACCTTCAAGCGTTGCCAAATTTCCTGCGACAGATCACGAATTTTCGGAACGATAATTTTTAAAAATCTTTCTTTCGATTTTTCACATAACTTTGTTTGTAATTCGATCTGAAATGCTAAAAAATGTCAAAAAAAAAAATTCATAACTTTTTTCCAAAATAAATACTTTCCAGGAGGAAATTTGGCAGCATTTGAATGCTCATACGGCGTTCCTCCTTAGCACAGCAGTATAAGCCTCAGGACGTCAGCAGATTTTCTTAAATTAGGTGAAATGCCGATTTTTTTCAACAATAAAACCTGAGCATATCCTTCTGCAAGTTGTTGCTCAGTGAATTTCTTTTACAATCTGATCCGAAGTATCTGAATATTTCAACGCAAAATATGCATAACTTTTCTCATAAATAAATATTTTATCCGAGGATATTTGGCAACCTTAGAATGCTCACAGATAGAAAATTGGAAGCTTGTTAAACGCCACCTAGTGTTGCTAACATTTTGCGTGTTGTTCTCCAGTGTAAACATTGGCGGATCCAGAGATTTGGCAACATTGGATTTCTATGAAAATGTATCGATTCTGGGAGGAACTAGGTGCTCCGGAAGAATCGATCATTTAACATTGGTTTAAATGGAGGGAATCCTGTGTTGCCAAATTGTTTGATCCGCCTCTGATTGTAAAAGAGCCTAAATACCTTCAATTCAGTGAATCATTATGGGAAAGCTCTCGCTTTCATGACAAGAAATATAATTTTCAGATCTTTGGATGCCCTTTAAATGAGAAAAACAGTTGCACAATTTCAACAACACCGGGTGGCGCTTACCAAGTTTTTAATTTTCACTCTTTATATAGCGTTCTCTCTTGGCATAACATTCTTGACGTCAAAATAAGAGAAAGGAAGCTCGCAAACGCGTAGGATCCTTAATGCGCTACGCAACCGCGCAGTGATAATCTTGGGACGAAAACAAACTAATCAGGCACTTAAGCACATTGAGGGCAGGCGAACTTAGTCGACGATGTCAATAGCGTCTGATCTTTCCTACCATGAATCTTCGAATTTAAGGGCCTAGTCGGCTAGTTTTTGATGCGAAAAGGAAAAGGCGGGAAAATCAGTAAATCGTACTCAATCTTAATTTTACCGTCAAACCATAATGCACTGTCAACACTTTTGAATGCTTTTGATATCTTAAAAAAGAGAGGGAAATTTTTTTGAGTTGTCTTTCTGTTGCTGTAACAGTTTTTCCCAGCTTGCAATGGTTCTATTCAGACTTGACTCGAAGAAATAATTGTGAAGTGTTTTCCAATACCTCAGATTGAAACATTGTGGTGGATTTTTTTCAGTGAAAATTTTGGAAGAAGTTGAATCATGCGCACATTGTCGAAACACTGCATCATTGGCTTCCTTGTTAGATTGTTGCTCATCGGATACGGCGAGCTCCAAGATCGGTTTTTTAGTGTGCCCTTTACAGACATTGACTATGGGGTCTTCATGGACGCTGCTCGTTACGTCACTGAAAATGTCTCGCCGTACACGAGATCGACCTATCGTTACACGCCCCTTCTCGCATATCTTCTGACTCCAGGGATTTTTTTACACCACGTCTTCGGGAAAATCCTGTTCTCTTGCTTTGATATCTGTATAGCATTTCTCATAGAGAAGGTCATTCTGCTGGTAAATAATGATATTCAACGCTCTACGGCCGTTGGTTATTCCTTATTATGGCTTTACAATCCAGTGTCTATAGTCATTTCGACCAGAGGAAATTCGGACTCCATAATTTGTTTTTTAAGTTTGCTGACATTGTATTTATTTTTGAAGGAGCGATACGCCCTCGCTGGAATTTGTCATGGCTTATCCATCCATTTGAGATTGTTTCCCATCGTTTATAGCTTAGTATATTATTTAGCCGTACCTCTAGAATCTAGTCATCAAGGAAGGAAGCAGCAATCTTACTTTCGAAAATTAATTCGATTTATTCAGCTATTTAAGTTGAATATTCCAAGATTGAAATTTGTTTTGACGTGCATTGTCACCTTAGCTGTTATCACAGCTTATTTTTTCGCCCTATACGGTCATCAATTTTTGTACGAAACATACATCTATCACTTGGTCAGGAAAGACATTCGTCATAATTTCTCCGTTTATTTCTTTTTTTTGTACCTAAGATCAACTGTAAACCAAACGAGTGTCTTCAAAATCATGATGTTTTTACCCCAACTAGTCCTTTTATTGGCGTTTTCCTTAAGACTTCGCAGTGTGAAGCAGGTACCATTCTGCTTGCTCTGTCTCACGTTCGTCGTGGTTATGTACAATCCTGTTCTGACAGCTCAATATTTTGTATGGTTCCTTCCTTTTCTCCCAATTTGCTTGCCCAATATTAAAATAGAGAGGCGTAAGTTGATCATCCTAACTTGTTTGTGGCTTTTCATGCAGCTGGCTTGGCTTTTACCAGCCTATCAGCTCGAATTTAAAGGCCAGAACACCTTCTTTTTCATATGGTGGCAGAGCATCTCCTTCTTTTGTAGTAACATTGCTGTTCTTTCAAACTTGATCAAGGCTTATCAGTGTCCAAGTTCACCCCTGAAAATTAAGGCTTCTTGAAAAAGAGTTGTAAATTCGCTTGTGTGTTTGATAGTATGAACTCATACTATCGTAGATCTCATTACGTTGTTCCCCTATTATTTTATCATTTTTTTCTGTCTTTTTCGTAAATTTATAAGTAAATCAATGAATGAAAATTCATGTCAAAATGTATGGCATTTAATAAAATGTGTGAATTCTATATTCTTATCGACTTACTTTTTCCTCATACTATTTTGGACGTAGTTTTCCAAATTATTCTTCAGTAGAGTTCGAACTTCACACAAGATGTACCGCGTTTAAGGCATTTTCATGTCCAAAATCTTAAATGAGTCAGGACATTGTATGGTTAAAAACCTTGAGGCTAGGGAATTCTATAATGCAATGAAACTCCCCGAAAGTGATTTTTGTCAGAGAGCAGTAACAACTTATTATTCTACATCAAGTTCTTTCAAAAAATCTAATTTCAATGAATTGAATGATCACCCTTAAATGGACCACATTTTGCAGTACTTAAGGAACCTCGATTTCTAGCTCATTTTAGAAACAACATATGTGCTATTGGTTTCCCTATGCAGAAAGGTGCTTTTATGGAAAAGCGGATATACTGGTTCCTTATTGCAAAATGTAATCCAATCAGCGAAATTCGCGGGGTATATCCCCCCCCCTTCTCCCCCAAAGAGTAAAAATCTGAGAGCAAGAGAGCAGTAAGTACGCAAAAATAGCATAATTTCCGACTAAATAGCAGGAAGTATACACATACTTAATCCGTAAAAACATTATTTACGTATTAATTGTTGCGAATTAGCACCCGTCTCTCTCATGAGGGGGGGGGGGTCAAGGGCCCATTCACCCCTCGCAGGCGTCTAACAGCATTGAGTGGCAACGTACGGTAACGCACTTTC